CAATCGATAAATCGATTCCTTTTTTTTAACTAATGAAACTAATAACACAAGCTGTGACACAAAACCCTCTCTGCACATTTACAGTGTGTACTCTGCAGTCATCGAGCTGTTGTCCTCTCACCGACCTTTCTGGAACAACACCAGCTCATCACTGTCTTAGTGGTTATTGAGTGGAAGATCAGACAAGCTACAGGGGTCCCAGTCTCGCCGAGTGTTGCTGCACGTTCCTGTGTTTATCAGTCTGCCTGCTTCTTATTTCTAATCTGCCTCTGCTGCTCGCCTCCCAAATTAACATCAGAGCTGCGGGGAGTCACCCAAAGCTCAGAGTACAGACTTACAACCAGCTCAGTGTGTCTGTGTTGACAGTTGAAGAGTAACTGACGTGTGTGTGTGTAAAACCCTGATTACACTTCAAACTTTTGTTTTCCCTGCTTTCACTTTCTTTCTTTTTTGTATTTTGTTCATGTATCATCATCTTGCACGGTTGTGATGGCCCGGTTTCCCCACAGAGATCGACAACTTCATCTAATCTAATCTTTCATACTTATTTCCAAAATGATAGAGGTATTCTGAGGCTACACTCAAATTCTCATAATCTTTTTTTGCTTAAAAATCTGCCATCATCTACAAAAAAAGACAATAGTAAGTGTTTCCATCAAACTGCTTGAAGTTGCTCAAAAACGCCACAAGGACAAGCAAGCAGTGATTCCTGATGGAGGATTATTCTCCAGCTGGTCCAAGGATTTGAACCAGTAGCCCTCCACTCCTGGTCCGACCTACCTGCCCTTCAAATCACCCTCGTCTCCTGTGACCCCTGCTCCTCTTCTCTGGGGTCAGATGGGGTTTTTCTCAGCAGGAATCACAAGGTGCCACAAGTGCTTTATGAGAAACACACTTTTACATTAGAGAGAGAGAGAGATAGAGAGAGATTTGTTGTTCCTTAAGATAAGGAGGTAAAGTAGAGGTAAAAGGCATGAAGGTAGTGCAAGTAGTCAGTTAAAAAATACTATACTTAAGTGAGTAGCGAATAAAATAGTACTCAAGATCAAAACCAATGTGGGGACAGGGGGGTGGGGGTGGAGGAGGAGGAACCAGGTTATGAAGGGCTTTGAAG